GCACAATAAAATTGTTTACATTCTGATTCCTTCATACAATGCATCACTGTGGGGCCAAGAAATCCCTACAGTAATCAAAGCCTTCAGTATACACATAAATATATGGACGTTTTTTTATATTCTGTGTACTCCTGACAGTAAAATAAGCCTATACAAACCTACATAAAAGGGCCTGTCATACAAAAACACTAAACAAAAAGAAAAACTTGATATACTGTTAATCCAGAATCTTAAAAATAATCATGATACAAATTTGTGGTCATACCGACCAGCACTTTCTGACAAAGCATTCAATCTAAAACAAACACTGATGTTTGTAACTATAATTAACTTATTTCAAAGAGCAGCAACTGTACCAGTGGTGAATCAAATACCAAAAGGTTAAAAATATAAAATTTGTACATTTACATTTGAGTACATTTAAAACTTTTGCAAGTTTTTTTTTTTTTTTTAATCAATGCATCTGTATATTCCCATACCAAAGTGCAGATTGCCACGTGTCTTTTTATAGCCAACAAGGCTGTTAATGACAACCCTGGCCTTAGTGTTGCTAACAATAATCAACTTATTTTATATTAAAGTCCTTTTCCTTTCTGCATTAACACTAAACATTGGCCGACTGCCATGTGGACTGCATACTGGAAGAAATGATCAAACAAACAAAAATAGCTCACCATAAAGGAGGTAACCACAGGTTATGGCTACATTTAGTTTGACGAGACTGGGGTCACCCCTGTGGAACAGCAAAGAACACATTGTAAAAGTCCTTTCAACACAGCTGTAACAGTACAACCCTTAAGATAAAGAAAGGGGGAAGAGGTGGAAGCTACTTGCTATTCCAGAAAAATCTAAAGCACTCACACTGTGCTCCTCTGATCATTAATCTACTTCTGTAAAGAGAACATGATGCAATTTTGCAAACTAATTAATGTAGCTAACTCACTAACCATGCAAGGTCAGTCAAGGTTGATTGTCTAATGATTGCCTAATGTTGAGGAGCTTGCTGTGATACTCTTGTACGTCGTTACGTCTTGATTAATAATAACAGCATGTTGTTTGTCAGTAACATTGATATTCTAATATGTTGTTCAGTCTTTTTTTCTGAATAAACAGTAAACAGTAGTTCAGTTAACAGAGCCATGACGTGCTCTGGTGACCGTTAGGTGTCCTCGCAAATAACATCTGTTCAAAATAAGAATGAAGGTGTCTCTACTTCAATAGTCATCCGATCCTGGTATCAGTCACAGGTATCGTATAGCGAATGACTGTCTGAATGCTTGTGTAACAGAACCCCACAACACACATACTGTATAAACATACACACTCAAAAGCTCATGCGCTGACACACACACACGCACGCACACGCACGCACCTGCTTGTATGATGGCTCACTTTACCCAACAGATGACCCTTAGCTTTAAGCCTTTAACTTCTATCCTCCAAATTTTGCCTGAGGTAGTTCAGCACACCATCTACCTTTAGTATAAGCACTCCAGAGTCTAAGAGTCTATAGAAGTTATATGAAAATATGCTTACTCGATTTGTTTTACATGTCTTGAACAAGCAACTTTGTATGCAACTCAGTGTCAATCGGGAATTTCTCATCGGCTCGCTTTCTCTCGGATTGTGTATCTAATCTAATGTATGTTTCACAAGAGTGCACGCCTGCTGTTAACTGATCAGTTGTATCACTTTACCACTGCACTTAAACAGAAAAGCAGCGAGCAAATATGAGCTTGGATAACACCCAACCTAACTGATAGTGGGATTGTCAGAGAGTCTGCAGGCTGCTGTCACAGAGTCCAAAGGCTTCTTGATAATCACATCAGCGTGATCCAGCTTCAGTTAATTAAATGTACAGTGAACCCACGCTCCACTCTCAGTGTATGGTGAACTGACTGGAATTTGGCCTAGAAAGAGAAGGGGAGCCTTTTACACAGGGAGTGCTACAATTATTAGCCCTGACTCAATGGGCCTCATGCAAGAACCACTCGTGAACAGATTTGCTCTTAAGTGGCACGTACCAATCATTTAAAAGAACTTCAACATTCACTCATTTTATTTAATAAAAAATCTTAAGTGGTCCAGGCCTACGACTCATTTCCAGAGAGTCTACAGGGAAACAATTATAATAGCATATAGGCTATACAGATTATAAAGCCTAGCTCTCAATGAATTAAGAGTTTAAATGCGTTCAGTCATATAAACTTTCAGCCATCTCACTCTGTAAGAAACAATTTTGCAGGACCTGTCCACAACATTTTCCAGGAGTTTTTCTTGGCAATACAGGACATGTACTTTACCGGTGGGCCCAGTATTACCACATTTAACTGCAGTGTGTCAGTGTGTTCATTACAGGGGGATGGTCAGTGTTAATGGCACACTCTGTTAGCTTTGTGCACTTGACTGTTGTCACCACAGCTGAATTTTCTGCTGCAGTCTCCAGTGAATTGACTGCAGTTTGCTACAGCTTTCCTTTAATGATGACATAGCCAATGACCGTTCAAATCAAGTGGAATTATTTTCAGGATATTTGGTTATTTTAATCAATTTCCAGATGTCTCCATGACTGGAAAACTAGTTCTGACAAATCCTGTCCTGGTACTGCTCTGTGATGACATGGTGTTGACAGCTGTAGTAATAATTCCGCTTTTTTTGTGTGTGCTTTCATATAACTACTGACAATTTTGTGTGCCGATGCATGAAATGTAGGTCTTGGTTAACATTTTTGTAAATTAAACGCATAGGTATGTTTTCATTAGTATGTAATCACCTGACAATAGCAATCGTTGTGTTTACCTTAGAATGAGCCGTTTTTATCTACAGACGCTGCGGGTTGCCTTCTGTGGAGTCCAACATGTTGACCCACCATGTTTCTACAGTAGCCCAGAACGGACAAAACAAACACTGGTTCTAGATAAAGACGTTTTTGGCGAGTTTCGCGGCCACCGTAGTTTCTCCTTTGCATTTGGAAGCGGAGGGTGAACTAACACTGGGTACTAACACTGGTCCTTTAAACTTGTGCACAAATGGAGCAGAACATATAGCAATTTGCAGGCATCTGTTATTCAAATGATCGTAGTTCACAAACGCACACCCCTTAATAAAACAGGTGGAATTTACTATGTTCTTGCATGTGTCCCAATGTCTTCAATGTTGACTTGGAAAGTGATAAAAGTGTGCTGGAAAACTTTAGGTGTCTAAACCAGATTGACCTCAACTCAGCACCCTGACATTTGTTCTCTCATTCTCCTCAGATGTCCCTGCACATGTTAAGTTCAAGTCCAGATAAGCCAATCAAAGAAATGTAGCAGAGGTGGGGCAGTCAGACACAGTGTTTGTTAACTGAATGGATTATGATAACAGCCTCGGCCCCGCTGCCTGCAAGAGTGACACACTAAAAGAGCCTGAGCAGCAGCTGAAAACAATGCAGGTTTCTAACAATATGGCTCTGGCCACTCTGGCACTGGTGAGAACGGCAGAGAAAACAATGCTGCTGTGTGACAGGTCTTAATGATGTTGTAATACAATCAGATTGACTGGAGAATTTATGCTTGCGCCACTCCGGTGTTGCAACAAGGTGAGCTTTAAGGCATTAGGATACTGCTGGGGATTGTGGGTGAAGGGAGTTTGGTGAGAAAATCAACAAAAGACATAGCAAGGCTTAAGTTGGGGCACCAGTATTACATCATACAGAAACTATTTGCACAAAGAAATCACCTTTTCCTCATGGGAGCTGAAGGAAATTATGTGACGGGAAAAAAAAAAATTTATTAAATCCTGTCACAAAAAATGTATGTAAAGACAAAGAGGCTTGGGGTGGAGGGCTAAGATACTAAGCACCTGAACACTCAGCAGAGGAAGATTGGTAGGAGGAGGAGGGAGGCTGGGAGCCCCCCCCATCTTTCAGCCTCCCTCTTGACCCCCCACCCCCACTTTCTTTTTTCCTCCCCTTTTTCGCTCCATCAGCAACGCTGGCCGGGGCCGACATGGAGACAATAAGAGCGAGGGAGGTGTGTTGCATTGATTCGACAGCCAGAGACGTGGGGTACAACGGACAGCTAGAGGCAGGAGGCTCATGGAAGTGGTGTGTGGTGGCGGGGGGTGGAGGAGGGAGGGGGTCTACAAGGAGAGAGAGAGCGAGGGAGCGAGGGGAGAGGGGAGGGGGGGGGAGGACTAGGCTGCTGTTGTTTGCTATGAAAAGGAGCCTTGTTGGTAGGATTCTAGTCTGTTGGTAAACCAGAGAGGAAGTGAAACAGAGGCAAAAGGAAGAGAGAAAGAAGAGAGAGAAGGGGAGAAGGAAGGAATGAGTGTTGTAAGAATATGAGGGAGAAGTGAGAGACAGAAAGACAGAAAGCTGGGGAGAAATGTTTTAAAAAGACTGATTGAGAGATTAGAAAGGAGAAAGAAGTGGGGAGGGAAATTACCATTTCTCCATTTTAGGATTCATTGATGCAAATGCACAGTCAGCAGTAGCAGAGCGGAAGACAGAGAGAAGACAGTAAAGACAATAATCAAAGGCTAAATCCACTGAATCTACAACTCTCTGGAGACTCCACTGACACATTAGATCCATCCTTTCCTCTTCCCTCTTTCATTCTGATGAAGAGAACGCCATCGTCATCTCTCCAAGGGTATTAACTACCAACCCTGACGATCCTTCACTACCACCCACCTCCCATCTTCATCCCTTCATCTGTTTCCTCCCTTCCCTTGTGAGCCAGACATGGCTGCCAGTCTGAAAAGGCAGATGTGAGAAGACAGGTTTCCCCTAAAAGCGCCCAAAGCATTCACACTACCTTTTTTTTTTTTTGTTCAGCCTGCCAAAATGACAGGGACATAACGTCAGTATTTTGCCTTTTCCATCAGCCTTGCTTTTGTGTTTATGGGGGTGTATAGGGTCGTATGTATTTGCACGTCACACATTCTCCAGCCTCATTTCACTATATTAGAATTAGTTTTTCTTTCTGTTCCTCTTACCAGACGGGGTTGGCGTTGACCGCATCGTCGAACCACAGGATGTACAGACAGAACAACCCCACAATCAGCGCGTGCACAGTTGAAACCAACCTGAAGATGGACACATATATAAGATGAAGAAGTAGTAAACATGATGACAGGCTAACAGGAATTTTAGGTAAGGAAATCTTTGTGTCTCTGCTTGTATACAGTCTGTAATTACATCTATGTTATCCCCTGTGTCTATGTGAGTCTAACTTCTTCTTTATCAGGCCTGATACAGCATAGCCCTGACCTTTGGAGCGGTTATCTAGGCCACTGAAGAGATACTCCAGAGGTCCAGTGGCCCCTTATCTCTCCTCTACCAGAATCACAGTTCCTCCTCTGTCACTATGCAGTGTCTGGGGTATGGCAGACTCTGTCCACAGGCTGCAGCTGCTGGCCTGAGCCCTTGCCAAGAATGGGTCTACAGATCAACTACTGTATGAGTGGATGAGTCCATTATTACTGCTGAATCAGACTGAAGAGTCTAAAAATGGAACAGTTACAGAGGAACTTGGCTAAAGGAAGTTGGTAAAACAGTGTGTCAATATCACCGTCTGTTTAGGATACGTTACAAATATCACAGGCACTCTCTGCTACTTGTGTTTGTATTGGAATTATTTTCGTAAAAACTAAATAATTTACAAAGGAAGAGGGAACAGATAAAAAAAACAGACAAGGGGAACAGATAAAGAAATTAATAAATTATGCAGATGCGTTCAATACTAGACATGCTCTTCCTTTGGAAATGCTTTCTCCCTCCTCTTCGTGCACTTAAGTCATGGTTACATAAACAACATACTGACACACTGAGAGCTGAGCTGTTACACAACAGCAGGCCGCTCTGAAGTGAACCATCAGTGCCTGGCCTTTGACTTGTTTTGGACTGTTCTTTGGTTGGTACAACACGTACTTGTGGACAGAATGGCTAATGTAAACCAGAGTTGTATGAATGAAGGGTTATCTGTGACTACTGACAGATAACCAATAACTAAATGAAAGATGTTATGCAACTACAGATTACTGCCCTCTGAACTTCACCCCTGAGGCTTCTCCTTGAAACTTAAAACTTCTCTGTGCTCCACCAGCTGTTCACATCACTGCTGTAGTTGCGTGGAATGATGAATCATATTAAGGTCCACCTCAACAGAGCTGTTTCACCAAATACACTGGTGTTTGCTTAACAGAGGTCAGGTTTATCGGCATGTCAAACCTTTGCAATGTTATACAACAATACTTTTGAAAGGAGGTGTATCTCAGTGGATGTACAGGGCTATCTGCAAAACCATTTGAAAATTTTGAATGCTTTTTATAAAAGTGTATGTGTCAAAGAAACAGTAAATATGAAACAAATAAACAACAAAATGCTGGTGGGTTTACATACACTCAAGTCTGTCGTGTCCAATAACTGAGAGAAACAAATCTAGTATTTCTGTGAACATTTTCAGATATTGTAAGGGACAGTGTTTCTTATTTTGATTTAGAACTCCAACACCTGGACCCCCAAAAGACCAAGAGTGTGCAAAGCATTAGAGATCTTAATATTCAACACTATGTTCACAGTTTCGGACCCTGAAATCCAACTGGATCTAGCTATGTCAGCTATGTATGCTGTGTCTGTAGGTAACAAAATCCACCTACCAGCAATTCTAACACTCACTAATTAACACGATAAATCAAATTTTTAGAATTTACTGTTGTGTTATATTTCTTGGCAGGAACCAGTACTGCCTGGTGTCTCCACTGGTTCCCTGTCAATGTTCCCAGCCAACAGTCTGTCACACAACCGCCCATATAATGGTGAACTAATGTTTTTACACTTTGATTTTTGTATGGATTAAACAAACTTTAGTACTAATATGTGGATTTTTTTTTACCTCCAGACACAGAAAGAGTTTCCCAAATTTTGAAATCTATGATTTTTCTGGCTAGCTTGGCTGACTATGTTTATTGTGATGCAACCAATCATATAAAAACACAATAACCTTTGGTAGAGAGCTATAGTAAAAGACATGTGGCACAGTATTTAACAAAAAAGGCTTCAACATGGTACCAAGATGAAACTGCCAGAGCATTGACAGGTTAGGTGCTTATGAGAAAAGGTCTGCCTACAGCAGGGGAAGTTGAGGCTTCCTGTTACACACCTTGAGTTCCACTCAGTAAGCTTGGTGGAAGGCTGCTGTCCATAACCCGGTGTGATGGCGTAGGAGAGCAGTGGGCTTGCCACTGAGAAGAGAAGCTGGAAACCCACGAAGCTGCCAGCTACCACAGTCAACTCTCTCGTCTCCATCACTCACCTAAACACAACAAGGGAGGAGACAGGAAGGGACGGGTGGGGGCAGGATACAGAGAGGGTGATACACATGGACAGGTTCAATCGATGACTGTCAGTCATCTAGGGCAGCACCAGAGGAGAAAGTAAGGTGGCAGCGGTGGTGAGAGGGTGAAGCGGCACCCTGTGTGGTTCATCCAGTCCACAAAGAAAAGGAGAAAGGGAAAGAGACAGAAGGGACAAAAATATAAGCTGAAGACATGGTCTGTCTAATGCAAGTGACATGAAAGCTTTAGACAAGCAGGGCAGAGGGGGGAGAGAAGATGAAAGGCAAGGAAAAATACAGAGTGGCAAAAAGAGAAAAAAAGTTATCGGGTGTTGTGAATACAGTGCGTAGCACAGCATTTAGCTTCGGAAATAAAAGGTCTGCATTATTATGCATATTTTGCAAGGGGATTACAGTGAGTTGTTTGAGACACACCAAAAATCCCAGAGGAGAAAACAAAGGCTGAGCGAGGAAAGAAAAGGGGATTGTCAAGATGAAGCAATGGGTTCAGCTCATGAGGCTGTGGAAGACTGTGTAACAAGCTGTAGCTTACTTCAGTAATGCTCTTTATTTTTCACATATGTAGGTTTAAGTTTTCCCCAATTGCTGCTGCTCTGATTTAACTCACAGATTTAAGTGTTGGTAGTATTATCCAGGAACAGAGGAGCTGAAGGGGTGAACTAATACAAACTGAAACTAATGAGAACCAACACAGATCCTGGATGTAGACGTGCAAACTATTGACTGTAAACATGCACATCCACAGTATACACACTAACTGAAGAGATCTGTTTACTCACTCAGGTCAACAAACTAGAGTCCTGTCTTGTCATATCACAGGCAATCAGCGGACATGGACTGAAACAGCACTGTGTTTGCAAAAGCAGGAAAAACTGATGGTTCAAAATGGTGTCTTTCAGGCACGGTTAAATAAAGGAAAAGAGGAGGAAATTAATCTTCGAGTCCACAAAGTCCTTTCTGCATTCACTGTAGATTGCCATTATAGCGCAGCTGTAATCTTATCGCTTTTTCTGAGCTGCTTATGTTCAAGAGCGACTCGGTTCTGAGCCACCGGATGTCTCAGGGTCGTGCCGGAGCATCAACAACTCACTGGCCTCATTCCCAAGAGCAAGTACAGTAGTCTTAGCGAATTGTATCACTACATTTGTACTGAGGACTAGAAATACTGACATTGCTAGCAGCTTTTGAGTGTTTTCCCATTTTTATTTTGCTGCATACAAAAATCATTATTTGGCCTGGTTGCTCAGCTTGCGCTTTTCCGTCTAGTACAACAGCAATTACAGCAAAACCATATCTATAGACCTGCAACATTAAGAATAAAAAGAGACCAAAAAAACTCACTAAGAAGGCTAAAGTGCATCATCATCGTGACCTCTCATTTGTGCTTCAGTTACAACATACTCCGTCTACACTGGTCTGGACTCTGGCCTGAAAAATGCATTGTAATTCTGATTTGACCACAGGAATTATGCAAGTCATTTAAAACCACTTATTCCTGGAGAGCTTGCGATTAGGATTGTGCAAGGTAAAGATTATTACAAACAAAGGTAGACCCTAATATAGTGTAGCCACATATTTTGTCAGGGCAGAGTAATTTTGCCTCGGGGAAGCACGTGACTCTTAAGGCATGTAGCCTACATAAAGTTCTATTTTTACTTATATGTCCAGTGTCATGCATACATACTGTTCCATAAAACAAAGCACAATAACAAGCCGCTGAAAAAACAACAACAACAAAGCACCTCAAGACAAAGTGGAACAAGCAAAACCCATCAATTTAATCACTGCCATGGAGATTACAGCTTTGCTCGGAGGCCACCAGAGGCAATCTTCCACTTGAGCTTTGGACACATCTGCAGAATCAACTTCAAAATGGATCCCAATAGATAGGATGACCAACCAAAGCAGCTGCGAGAAGTGCAACTCCTACTCCACACCCAGCCTCCCAATGCCCCATTCACCAGAACCTGGCATGTTCAACAGGGAATCTGAGGCGGGCAATTCTTCTTGGAGGAGCCACACCACACTGAGAGCCTCTTATTGTCCCTGGGAGCAGCTTTGCACATTCCTGGGCCACGTTGATCATATGCAGCATGAGCCTGAATAATTCATTGGCATTCTTCACCTGACAGGCTGGTTCACACTGTCCCATGGGAAGGAGCAGCTACAGAGCCTCCTCACTGCGGTTGACAACCCGGACAGTAGAGGTGCTCCGCCGGTCCACGTTTGACCTTGTTCCACTGGACTATCCTGCTGCTGTCAGCAAGCCGTGACCCCGTGACATATCGACCAAACATAAATAATAGCGGTTCAATTTCCCCTGTTCCTTTGGAAATCTAAACCGGCCTCTGTCTACCGCATTGCTACACAAGACCAATGGGTTTGACTCGCTCTGTAGCTTCAGGCACAATCGTTGGCCAGCCTGGTTCTCACCAATCTGTGCAGGCAGGTTTCGGGTCATGGTATGAACACTGATACATAAAATGGTGATTTATTGCCGTTTTGAGCTGATTGAGATGTTTGCATGTTAGCACACAAAAGGCTCTGCAATACACAGACGCTCCCTCCTGTGATTTCTTTGGAGTATTGTGCACAATAACAACTGGCGTGGGCAGTCCAAAGTAAAGGCTACATGTAACAGTAACGGGCTACCCATAACCCCTTCATGTAAGTCCACTACCATTGTGCTGTGCAGTGGGTGGATATGCAGAGTAAAACAGGCAGTTAGTGCTTATTATTGTGTGTCGAGCACCGTGTCAGATGCCGCGACTATCGGCCGCATTATCACTGGGTAACCACTGTTTTATAATACAAACCATGCAGGCGTTGAACGAGCTGTAACAAGAAGCCGAGCCGGTTGCCAACACCACGGATTTTATGGAGCAAAGTTGTCGGCTAAAAGCTGAAAAGGGGCTGCTACATATACCGCTGCCACCGAGCTGTTGCAGTACCAAGATTGTGTACGGTTAAACACAACAACAAAACATCTTAAATTGTGTAAGATAAAACCCACGGACGGTACAGTGTATCTGATATGGCTGGAAGCAGTAAGGGGGGGAGCTCTGTTACCTGCTATCCGTCGCATAGGTCTGTGTAGGCGGATAAGCTCCCGTTTAGCCGCCGTCTTCTCCACTTTTCTTACAACTTGACGTTAGCTAGCAAGTCGGCTAAACTGATACAGCCTGCTGGCTCTCGCTGTGCGACCCCCAGGAAAGAAAGAGAGGAGAGAAAAAAAAGAGCCTCCTCTGCTACGCGAACAATGCCGAGCCCCAGCAACCATAACAGCGCGGAGATAAAGGGGCCTTTACTCGCAGCCTTGTTTCTTCGCTGCCATGTGTTTCTACTTATGAATCCGAAAGAAAAGTTTTTTTTACTCGTTTTATTTTGGCGTTGACAGTAAGGACCAACCGGTGACGTCGACACGTACCCACCCCCCTTTCGTGCACACGCCCCCCCCCTTGGCACTGGCTACACCCACGAGGAACAAAGGCCACATTGCAATAGGATTGATGATAACTTGATAATATAGGTAGTGAACACGGTTTTGGGGAGAGACGTAGCTCATTTACTACTAAATATTATTTAACATCTAATCAGAAAATGTAATGTACCTTTCTACTGTTTCAGGAATCCGGTGGGTTCCATTCAATTTCCATATGATATAAAAATATTGACTCTTCAAACTCGCTTTAATTAAATTTCTAAATTTCTGTCCACCATATTATCATTATGAGGCAAACTTTAAAAATCAATCTGCACTAGAACTGCATCGCCATACAAGAAGAATACGATTTCTAAGAGGATTTACTTTATTAATCCCCAATGGGGAAATTATTTTGCGCTCAGTATTTTTACAGCATAAGCTCCAAATACAATCATGCACACACGGCTTATAGGCATGCAAATGTGGCAGTGCTCCAGGAGCAGTTAAAGGGGGGGCGGGGGAAGGTGCGTTAACTCAAAGGCACCTAGGCAGTGGCCAGGAGGTGGCGCCTCTCCAGCTACCAGTCCACACTCCATACTGGGGTTCGTCCTGGAATTGAACC